TCTGCTCACCACCTCAAGCTCAACCTTGACAAGACTGAACTGCTTTTCCTTCCGGGAAAAGATTGTCCCACTCTTGACCTAACAATCAACATCGGCACCTCTATTGTTTCCCAGACTCAGACTGCAAGGAATCTGGGTGTGACCCTAGATAACAAACTGTCCTTCACTGCAAACATTGCTGCAACAACCCGCTGCTGCAGATACACGCTTTACAACATCAGGAGAATACGTTCGTAGCTAACCCAGAAAGCGACGCAGGTTCTGAACCAGACTCTTGTCATCTCACGCCTAGACTACTGCAACTCCCTCCTGGCTGGTCTACCTGCATGTGCCATCCGACCTCTGCAGCTCATCCAGAATGCAGCTGCTCGTCTGGTCTACAACCTTCCTAAATTCTCCCACACCACGCCGCTCCTCCGCTGGCTTCCAGTAACTGCTAGAATCCACTTCAAAACAATGGTACTTGCGTACCATGCTGCGAATGGATCTGGCCCTTCCTACATCCAGGACATGGTTAAACTGTACACCCCAGCACGTGCACTCCGCTCTGCATCAGCCAAACAGCTCGCTGCACCCGCACTGCGAGGGGGAACCAACCTGATGTACTTATATGATTCTGTTTTCTTCAAGTTTGTATTTTGTTGGTCGAATGTACTTATTGTAAGTCACTTTGGATAAAAGCGTCAGCTAAATGTAATGTAATGTGTTTTTTGTATTTCCCTTCACCAGTGTATTGCCCGTTCTGGATGTGGTGGTGCCACTGCTTCTTGGGTTTCAACATGAGTTTTTTCATGCGTTTACGGGGGCCACGAGTGCATAACTCCCATAAAATATCTGTGCCCCGTTAAAGTCAAAGACCGAGTCAATGTGTGTGCACCGGGTTTGAAGGAGGCTTTGGAAGAAAGTAGAATTCCAGACGGGTTTAGCGCAGGTGCTAATCGATGTCCATAGAGAATCAGGCTTTCGCATTTTTCTGCCAAACCACTGATCCAAATAACTTCATTCGCAGAACTGTCCATCCCCGGGTCCTCGCCAGCACACATGCCAAGCGTAGAGCAGGTCGGTCAGAGGGTCGGCGAGATACTCGAACCCAAGATACACACACACACATCTGTCATTACGATTAAGTTATCTTAGTCTTCTTTTTTCGTAATTTTCCCTTTTTTCTATGTTGTTTGTTTCTCCTCAGGTTGAGGGGAGGACCTTTGTATAAGCCTGTGGCTTCTCAACCTCCCCTGTCACATTTGTTATGATTCAATTCTTTATTTTATTATTTCATAATGGATTTTATGCAGTCTCATGTGTGTTTAAAAAAAAAAGGAGATACTCTGTTACAAGTGAAAGTCCTTTCGTTGTGGTAGTTTGGTCTAAAATAGTGTATTTTATATTATAAATAAAATGTGTACTGTATACTCTATATATAGTATTTCGATCTATCCATCTATCTAACTCAATTAAATATAGTTGTCAAATTTAATGGATTATGAGCATTTATGTATTAATATTTAATGGTGGGGCTAATTTTAACTGCTGGAGGCCTGAGTGTCTGCTTCACATAGAGTGAGGAAGAGTCACAATAACACACAGCTTTGCTCTGAATTTAAAAGGAGAGTTCCTGCGGGGGCTTAATGTCCTGTTTAAAGAGTTAGCACGGATTCACCAAAGTCACACAATAACACCTAAGAACTAATCGATGGAGGCAGTAGTAGAGCAGAAACTCCCGCGTTCTGCGAGGTAAAATGACTGCTTTTGTCAAAGGGGAGTGGTGGCTCTGAAGAGGGGATAGATAGCGGCTTCAGTTCCCCGTAGGAAACGGTTGACTGGCAGCAAGGTTAAGTGGTGAAAAGATTCTAAATATAGCGTGCACTGCACTTAAACTGATATTGATTTTTTTTTTGGTGGGCCTTTCTTTTAGGCGTCTTGTATACGTTTTGCTGATGTCCACAGCAATACATTTCTCAGCTTCTGTGCAGGTACTCTGCCTTTTCTCCTAAGTGGGGGTGTGTCGACACCATCTACTGTATGTAACACACTAAATATGGGTAAAGTACCTCTACTACCCCACTTCAAAGGATCTGAACTATTGCTTAAGAGTTTGTCTTTGTGTAGCTGCAGAATCGGGAGCCTAAGAGAGACAGCAGGGATTCACAATAGTCAACACCTAATGAAATAAAAGCCTGGAAAATGTTCCCTCAGACGTTGGAAATAACAAGATAATTCCTAAGTACAGACAAAAATGAACATACCTTTGGATATGATTCTCGTTTTCCATCAGGATTCCCATATTTCTAATAATGTGCCAAGCTGCAGAGATTTAAATGTCACGCTCGACAGGTAAAGAGTTAGAACCTCACATTCATCATTTTGTAACGTGAAGAATGTGTTGCGGTTTTTAACATTTCATGCCTGTCAGGCATTTTAAAAGACATAAAGACTAATTGTATCAGCGACTTATGTAAAGTGCTGCTGCCTCAGGATAAAAACAAAAGACTCTTACCACTAAGACAAGGATCATGGGACCTTGGTAGATGTAGTCCGTGTAAACGCCAGCTCGCTTTCCAAACCAGCACCTGCAATTACACAGAGAAATCACAAATGCTTACTTCTAGGCAGGTGTAATTATATTTTCACTCTTTATAAAGTATTCAGAATATTAATTTATTTTGTTGAGCTGCTCAGGATGTTTATATATGTTCCAGTCAGAGAAAACACATTTTCTTTGAAATAAATAAATATCTTGAAACAAGAAGAACGTCGCAGCACTGAAAAGCTTGAAAAAATATATTTTCTTTGAGGTAAATTATAAAATTAATATATTTGAAGTAGAAAAACATAATCTTAACTTACTTATTCTACTAAAACTCATTCTAAAACATCATGGATCAAATGATGAACAACAAATGCCTGACTGAATTTGCTTTCTTCTACCAAAGAAAGAAATATCCTGAAAGAAGAAGAACATTGCTGCACCGATTTTTTTTTTAAAGAAAGATTATTTATTTGAGATTGAAAATAAAAATCAAACATTTCAAGTTGATAAGAGGATAAGGCTGGTGATATATATATATTTCTATTCTTGCCAACAGATTCAATGGCAAAAGCCGAAAAGGCGTCTCAACACTAACTGACATCCCTGCCCTGTCTGTGACACTCAGCCTCGAGCCCATCGGATCTTTCTGAAGATATAAATATTTAAAAATGGGTCACAAATTCAGTTATTTAAAAAATGGAAAAGTAATATGCCTGAAAAGATGGTCTGTATAGTTTCGGTGCAGAAGTATTCTTCTAAACATCTGGGAAGAATTTTTTTTTTTTTTTACGATTTAACGCGTGTCAGCGCTTCTATTGCACACCCTCAGAATGTAAAAGAGGATGGCATGACTTGAAGGAGAGGACAAAATAAATAATATAATTCAACTTTGCCATGATGAGTGGACATTTTGTGCGAGAGGATGATGCTTATCATTTAAACGGAACTCTATGTGGCTATTACCGCTGACCTTTTGAATAGGACTGTTTTGCAAAGAGGCTCATTTGCATAGGAAAGGGAACATTTTCCCCAAAAAGTATAGCATATGTCATGTAAATATGTGCAAATGACACATGCGAACCAAAAAGTAATTTACTGCAGTTAGCATTGCATTTCAACCCTTGTTGATTTTGACAGTAAGAAAAACATCAAACACTGACATCCTTATCCTTAATGAAACTTGTGCTTTAAGGGTTTTAATCAGATGATTTTCAGCACACACATATATAAAATGCAGAATCCATTTTCACCTGTGTACCAAGTGCAAAAAGAGATACTTTATATCAATCAAGAGCCAAGCACTCCCTCTCAAAGTGGAAATGGCCAGGGGGATAATATGTAATTAAGAAGATTGTACAGTGAAAATGTGATTACCGCAGGTTAATAATAGACATTAGTCTCCTTAATGCAATACAGTTTGACTTTGCCCTTGTCCTTTTATTAGCGGGTTTGGTTTCTCTGAAAAGAGGAGGCACAACAAAGGGCTTACTTTTCATTGTCGTAGTACAGCTTCCCAATCGCCCATGCCACAATTATAGGGAAGGGTATACCTGTGACGGAAAAGAAAGGACACATAACAGAATATCACAAAATATGCCTTCAGGGATTTCACGCTGCAATAAGAAGTCCTCGATTCTTTTTTTCACAAGCGCCTGCCAAGCTCTGTCAGAAGCTATTGTTCCTGGTGTGCTGTGATCCACAGATTCAAGCCGAGACATGTCACCATGTGAAGTTTTTGTGAATGAATGAGTAGCTGGACTCTGCTTGACGATAATGCAGAGTGATCATCTGATTTACTGATTTAAGGGAGTATAATAGAGCAGACAAACAGCCATTCCTTGACCATGAGGAATGTGCCAGATGCCTCGTCACATGTAAATCAGGAAATGTTCCACTTCGAAATATACTGCCATTAGTGTAATGTAAATCCCTATAAAAATAGACTCCCACATTACTTGAAAAATGTAATTCATCTTGATTTAATCTCGTGCCTATGCCCATCTGCTTTAATAATAATGTCTGCTCTTGAAGCCCGAGTTGAAGCTAAGCGAAGCAAATACAATTTGATCTTATAAATGTTTGCATGGCTGTCCTGAAATGTGCTGCCATATCTTCCTTCACACGGAGGCTTCACGCGGCCCCGGGGGAAATGTAATCCAGATGGCACAATACACCTAATCTCAGCAGCACATAGTTGAGTTTGACAGTGTGAAACGGGGTGTTAGTGAACTCCACACCAAGACGTTTCCAAGCTGCCACAGCAAATCCTGGTATCTCCATCAAGTAATCTGCTCCCATTGTTAGCTTAGTGTGTGTCTGACCCTCAGTGTGGTCTGTTAAAGCAAAATATCTAAACTGACTGGAGTTAAACAAGTAGTTTAACATTTGAGAAATACAATTACTCGCTTTCTACGCTATTCAAATTGATACTACTTAACAGCCGGGAGCCAATTAGCTTAGCAATATCACTAGAAGCTAGCTTGGAAAATACTCTCTTATAAAAAACAATTTGTCCCTTAAACAATTATCTTTGTGAACATTAAATATGGTAGATTGAGGTGTTAGTACGTGTATTTTTGATATTGGTAAGAGCGAAGATAGCCTTTCTCCCATGCTACTAGTCTTTATGCTAAGCTAAGCTAACTGTTCCTGGCTCTTGATCTATACTTAACACGATTTATATCACTTAAGTGACTGGTGATATCAATCCTCCTTTTGAAAGAAAGTAAATAAGTGTATTTCCCCAAAAACGTAAACAATGCTAACTAAAGCTTTTTTAAGCCACAATGTTTAATCTACTGATCAGTTAGTTACCAACTATAATGATTAATCCATTAAATCATTTTCATGCTAAAACTGCAGAAAATGCTGTTTTCAGCCTCTTAAGTACATGTAAGGAGAAATGCAGATTTTTTTCGTTGCTTATGAAAGTGAACATCTTTGGTATAACAAAATACATTGAAATACCAACTGAAATAAATGAACAATTTTCCATCCTTGTTTCTCAAATCCAAGTTGAACTTGGATTTGAGAAACAAGGATGGAAAATTGTTCATTTATTTCTGTAATTTTATAAACCGAACGTTTATTCCTGAAAATAATCGTTAGTCAAAGTCCTAAAGGTTTTTTATTCAGCTGTAGGGATGTGAGTTTTATTGTACGTACACCAGCCGATGCAGATGAACATCCACTTGCGCAGCTTGTCGGTGGAGTAGGTGAGTACGATGGCGGTGTGGAGGTAGCAGCCTTCGCCAAACATCCAGAAGAAGTTGGTGGAGTGGAAATAGTTGAAGGAGGCTGTGACGAGGCGGCACCAAATCTACGAGACAAATTATTCAGTTAAACATTTTACAGTTTCTAATTTTGTCCTACTGCAAAACACTGCATAGCACACCACATGTTCTGTGGGTTACATTATAATCATATCATCAGGAAACTGTTGCTAAATGGTCTGTCAAAGGAAGCTCTGTTTGAGACTCAACGGTTTGTAATACAAGAAACATGCTCTTCTTTATGACTTCCTTGTCCGCCAGTCATTTGTAATACAAGTTTTATTTCCCAGAAACACACAGGGGATAACTTGAGTGAACTGAACACATATGGGGGATTTTGGATCCGTCCAATTGAGTTAACAGGCTTAAAGAATCAATGACCAGGAGTATTCAAACTCCTCTGGTGGTTAAAGGCAACCCAAAACCTCACTATAAAGACACATTATTATGAGAATTTCATGAATACAGCAGCTGTTTCTTGAAACTCAGTTGCTGGGCCGTCCTTGAAGACACTAACAAGAAAATATTCAAAAAATACAATTAAAAAAATGTTATGTAAAGAGAAACAGCTTAATAATTGAAGGATGATCATTTTTAGTACAAAGTCACAACCCTAACCCTTAACCAACAAGGTGTAACTCTAACCAAAGAGTTTCTGTACTCATCAATCCTACTAGAGATATAAACCATACAAAAGGGCTTTATATGTGTTTATAAAACAGCAGGTCATTGCAGTTTTTATCAAACATTGCAAACAGAGGAAATTTGTTGGGGACTATTTCCAATGGCAGATTAATCCACAATTGGCGCTCTTGATAATATTATGTGCATGGTGCAGCATGGTGTATGTAGGAATAACTCCAGTATGAACTGCAGTGTTTGTGTTGATAATGATTGACCCTCAACGGTTAATAAAACCCTCAAAAGGAAGTCATAGCGGGCAAACATTTCATTCCAATGCAAAATTACAAGTTATTTTACCGCTCTCTTATTTATTTTGGAATCATTTTATAGAACTTCTTTCACCATATGCTTTAACGTGACACAAAAAATAGCAATCAACATCAAAGCTTGCCAAAATACACAAAAGATAGAGGCTCAAAGATTGTATACTATATATTTGGATACAAAATATTGTTCCAAGTAAGAGAGAAAAGGACAATTTAGGTTCTTCAAATTGAGTTGTGCCTAATCACTTTCCGCTTTCTTGACGGTTTGGCAGTTTCCCAGTGAATAAACACCAAACTGTCATGTTAATGAAGACGGCAGCACACTGTGTACCTGAATGTTCAAACACTTGGTCCAAATAATGCAATTACTGGATCAGGTCCAATCTCCTAATACAAATATTAGAGAAGGTCACAAAGATGACCGACCAGGTGGTATACGTTTTGGGCAGCTCCAAAACAAATGTTACAGTGTTCCAATTAAGTTGATCCAATCCTGGGAACATCTTTTCTAATCTGCTGCTGCTAATGTGTCGTCTATTACAGCTTTGATTCTAATTAAATATTCTGCCAAAAAAAAAACACCTAAACGTATTTTTACAAAAAAAGAAAAGTACATCCCTTATGGGGGTCTGATACAAAACGATCACTTTTTTTCAAATATCTTTGTACTTTTGTGTGATTGGTTAATAATAAGAAAATATATAATATCACAAGACATGTCCTTTAGTTCCGAAAGAAAACTGTTTCTTGTCAAAGATCTAGAGATGAAGTGGTACGTACCACGTTACTTTCGTGCACTGCGGGACTCATGGTCATTTGGACGATAAACCATGTGGCGTTCCTCAGGATGAAGGCGGTGATGAGGTTCCAGTGGATGATGTTTCTCAGGCAGCGGATGCTCCTGCGAGGCAAACAGAGAAGAACAAACTCAGATTAAATAATTAATCAAAAGTAAATGAGACCAAATTTGGGGAATTTTTCTATTTTGTAGCGTATTCTTAACCGAGACAGTGCACTAACATCGAAATGAAATATACCCCAAACTGACTGGTTAAAGAAATTGTTCAACATTTTGGCAAGTACAACTACTGGCTTTCTTTCTGAAAGTTCAAGATAAAAATTGAGTGGCAAAAACGCAGGTAGCCTACAGCCAGAGGATGATTAGCCTAGCTTAGCATAAAGAGACTGGATGTGGTTGGAAACAGCTAGCCCCACAAATCTGAAACAAATAGCCTACATGCAATATGTGATACATTTCTCTGCATTTTGACATATTAAATATTGCAGTAATGCTTGACTAGGGCCACCAGGGTGAGTGGAGGGGGTCTGGAGGACAGCCCAAGACCACAGCGGAGGACCCGGAAGGGATCTCGGGTGGACGGCCCAAGTGCAAGGCAGAAGCCGAGAAGGGGGACTCGGGCGGACGGCCCGGGGGCAAGGCAGAGTCCAAGGATGGGGTCTCGGGCGGAAGGCCCGGGGGCTAGGCAGAGTCCATGGAGGGTCGAAGGCCACAGCGGGTGAACTCAGGGACCCCCAATGGGACAGGACATAGGGTTGGCAGGACCCCCGGCAGAAGAGTAGTCGGCAGGACCCCCGACGGCACAGGACATAGGGTTGGTAGGACCCCCGGCAGGAGAGTAGTCGGCGGGACCCCCAACGGGACAGGACATGGAGTTGGCAGGACCCCCAGTGGAACCTCCAACGGCACTTCAGTAGGGACTTGAGTAGGGACTTGAGTTGGGACTTGAGTAGGGACTGGAGAGGGAACTCAAGAGGTGACTAGAAAGGGGACTCAAGAGGGAACTCGAGAGGAGACTTGAGAGGAGACTTGAGAGGAAACTGGAGAGGGGACTCGAGAGGGAACTCGAGAGGGAACTCGAGATGGGACTAGAGTAGGGACTTGAGAAGTGACTAGAGGAGGGACTGGAGAAGGGACTAGAGAAGTGACTTGAGAAGGGACTTGAGAAGGGACTTGAGAAGGGAATTGAGTAGGGACTAGAGAAGGGACTTGGGAAGGGACTTGGGAAGGGACTCGAGAAGAGACCAGAGAAGGGACTTGGGAAGGGACTCGAGAAGAGACCAGAGAAGGGACCAGAGAAGGGACTAGAGAAGGGACTAGAGAAGGGACTCAAGAGACTAGAGAAGGGACCAGAGAAGGGACCAGAGAAGGGACTCGGGAAGGGACTCTGGCTGCTGGGGCCAGAACTGGGTCTGGAACCATGGCTACTGGGGCCGGAACCATGGCCGCTGGGGCCGGAACCATGGCCTCTGGGGCCAGAACTGGGTCTGGAACCATGGCTGCTGGGGCCGGAACCATGGCTCCTGGGGCCGGAACCAGGACCGGAACCATGGCCGCTGGGGCCAGAACTGGGTCTGGGACCATGGCTGCTGGGGCCGGAACTGGTTCTGGAACCATGGCTGCTGGGACCAGAACCGGGGATGGAACCATGGCTGCTGGGGCCAGAACTGGTGCCGGAACCATTGCTGCTGGGGCCAGAACTGGGGCCGGAACCATGGCTGCTGGGGCTCGGGCTGCTAGCGACTCCTTCTTTTAGGAGCCGTTTGGAGGCTCCGTGGACCTCCAAAAGCCAGACGAGTTCCAGAGAACGGCTCCTGGACAGGAGCAGGAACTGGGGCAGAAGCAAGGGGTGACTCCAAACGGAACACACTGATCCGTGTGGTGTCATAATGGGAATTGGGAGGCAGGGAGCTAGCATGCCTAGGGCTAGCAGGCAGGGGACAACACACTGAGAGGAAATTCAAAATCCAGCCAGGTAAGAATTTCACAAAGCCTGGCTTCTCCGTAGTCATCTGGCGCGCCTCTGCCAGAGCAGCCTCTCGCTGCTGAACCCCGGACGCTCCCCTCCATCGATGAGAGCAGTTAGCCAAAAAAAAGGAAAAATCCAATAATTCCTGCTCAAAAGGATCTGCTGGGCCCATATCTGGTTGGTTCGTACTGTTACGGTTGAGTGAAGGAAGCAGGACCCAAATGCAGATAACTCTGATTATACCTTTATTTCAAGGATAATGAAAACAACTCGGAAAAACAGAACACTCACCGGTGAACTCAGTCACAAACAAAAGACGAACCAACACTGAACACAGGAAAAGACAAGACTAAATACAGGGAGGGGTAATCACAAGACGAGAAACAGCCGGGCAGGGGAGGAGAAACACAAGGGCCACAGGTGAACACAATCAGACAACTAGACACACCAGGGAAACTAACGACAGGAGGAAAAACACAGGGAAAAGGACCAGACAATAAACCAGGAAGAAAACAAGACAGGGAGAACAGCAAAATAAACCCAAACATGCAAAACTACAAACGTGACATAACATAAGAATCCTGACAAATATGTTAATTAAAAAAAATGTTGCACTGAATTTGAATCCAAGACATTAAACAAATGCTATAACCCTTTAAGGAATCTTGGAAATAATGAAGATGTGCAGCCTCAACATGTCCCCTTACCCCTAACATGACATAAAGTAACATTTCCACTGTACTCCCGTTTGTGTCATGCCCTGAACATTTGATGTCTTTATAAATTATGCAAATGAATCGACCTTAGGATACAATTAAAAATCTGCCTCAGAGTTAGAGGTTGAAAATAGAAGCACACATAAGGGATGTAACAAAACGACCCCGGTCACAGCACTGACAGCCCGCTTGTTGTCACCAGCTGACGGCATCATCAGCCAGCAACCATGAATCACATGACTTATTTTTTAAGCATGCATCAATTATTAATAAGTGCCACTTGCACTGGCTTTGTGCTGACTGAGTAGCCGTGCAGGAGCAAGATTGTTCCATTGACACTGCATTACTGTGCCCTTTTACTCCGATTTGTATTAATCATGGAGCTTTTAAAGGAAATAACGACCCTCGTAACACCATAACATGCAGAGAAATGCTGGTGCAGTTTGGAATTAGTACAATATTACAAAGAAGTAAAACAGAAGCAACTTAATCGGTACAAAAATAAGTATTATCAATGGTTTTTTCCCCAAAATAAGCAGCTAATCTGCATCCTTTTGAAAATGAGTACTAATGGCAGCGACTGTCATCAAAGAAGATTTTTTCTTTCAACAACTGATTCATTACCCAGTGTGATCTCACTCCCTTTGGCATCCTGTCAGTGAATCAGCTCGGCCTGATGGGTATTAATTACCGCCTAATGCAGGTCTTGCGTCTGAAAACACAACCTGTTTTCTGTCAATTTATCTCATCCTGTTTTTCAGTACCAGTGGATCCTATCCCCAGTGTATAACCTTACACTTTAAATAAGTATGCGTAGGACAATGTATCAATGCTATGGATTTTTATTGATCTGGCACTATGAAAAATATTAATTTAGCTTGTTTATTGGCCATAAAAGCCCCCATATGGTGACTTCTGGCACATTATTTTCCATCAAATACACTCAATCCTAATTATTGCATATTTTAATGAGCAGGGGGGTGATTTTTATATAACTTCCTCATTGTTATGTGCCTCTTGTGGAGTGTTTGTAATGACTTGACCTGCTGACAATTGGTTTCATTTGTGTTTAATCGAGCCCAAGATGATTGGTTCGGTGCACCCAGAGAGTAACCCAAACACAGGGTGACTCATCACGCACCGAGGAGAGTTCAATAAGTTTCTTTTTTTCTTCCTGTCCGTGCAGCCTTGTAATTGATCAAAAACAAACATTTAAAATCCATACTTTACTCTGTGTGTGAATCATCCCCTGCTGCACTGTTAATTAGTGGAATTTGTTAGTTAATTTGTGCATCAAACCCCCTTTTTTACCATTATATAATTTATATCATTCTATTAAGAAAGAAAAAAGTAATGATAACATTTAAGAAATAAATCACTGCTTTATGTTATTCCCACTTTATATATTAGATTGTATGATTGCTATATCTTGCTATCCTCTTTCATTTCACTGATAAATAGTTCTGTATTACAATACCATTTTGCGTACTCTTTAAACTTAACCTATTATTATTTATTTATAGTTACATAAAATGAGATAAGATAGAATGTATTCATCCCTTAGGGAACCCTTTAGTTGCGGGCTGAAAAGTAAGAAGGCAGATAAAGGGCGATAAAAAAATACATTAAATTCCTTAGATTATATTAGTAGTTTGTGCAAAAATAAATCCTAGTGAATCTCTGGCAGACATCATGTCTGAATTTAAGTTTCAAAAACAATATGAATAAAAGTATGAAAAATTATAGACAATGTTAGACATATATGCAAAGTATAGAAATACTACAAATGAATGACACAATAGTATAAACAAAGTTGAAAATATATATATATATAAATAATACAATGTAAAAGTACAATTGTTTATTATCATTAAAACGCATAGCTATACTGTATACCCATAAATTACATTAAGTTACCACATTACAGCTTAAGAATAGTCTAACGTATTGTAATGTTTATAGTATTCCAGAGTTTTAAATTAGAAGTTTCATTATGATAACATATCTTACTAATTCTTGGGACAACAATAGGATTTTAATTCAATTCAGAGGCCTACGATCGATATGAGGAGTATCAAACTGCCACACTATCAGTTACGTTAGATCAACTTTATGAATATAATCAATAATCATTATAATTGGAAAACTGCATTACTGGGCTCTGAGGGGAGGAGGTGCACTTGGCTAGAAATGGCACAACTGTGCCATGGGTATTATAAACAGTGTTCAGACTAACGCGTTACTGTAACGCAACTACTTTTTTGCGGTAACTAATAGCGTTACTAGTTACCTATTCCCATTAAGTAACGCCGTTATAGTTACTGTGATTTAAATGGTTGCGTTACTGCGTTACATGATGGAACTGAACCGAATCTCCCTGCGGATGTAACTTACAGGCGAATACAGCGATGTCCTCT